ATCTTCATAATAGAACGCATTAGAAGAAGCCAATGCATAAAGCATTGGAAGAGTATTTCCATACAATCATTAGGTACAGCAGTACTATAGGCCGCTAAAATAACAAAGTGTCTAGCACACAAGACAGTAGTTCCCAAACCTATGCTTCACTGTGCAGAGAACTTATAGGCAGCTGATAAGTACTAAGTTCCCAAACACTTTGGTCAGTAACATGCCATTAGCTTGAACCATCCAAAACCCTCTGAATCCAGCATTATGCATCTCCACACATTGTTAATACTAGCTTATACATGGCATTACAGTCAGAGCTTCCTTCGAACCTCAATTTTACTTCATCTGTGCTGAAGTTGACTGTTCACATTTTTTTGTTGTAGAAGTTCTCACATCAAAAGGACAGGAAGCTAACTGTTTGCCCAGTCCCTCAGGTGCACGAGGTGTTTAGTTTTAGAAAAAGAAAGAGACTACTATTCATTTTCTCAATTATTCAGTTTGAACTTGACATTCATAATCATATAGAGGAAAAAATAGGCAAAGAAGCCCCAGTAGTCAAACTTCACATGACCAGTTTTCTCTCAGAGATCCGCAGCCAGTGTTCTCAGTTGATATGGTTTTGAAGTCATGTTCTTAATTCAACATTTCAGCTCTCAAAGCTACATCAATTATTGCTCTTCACCTTACTGCTATACCTCAAGTTGAACTCTTTGGAAAAGCATTTAGCAGGAGGATTTGAAACAAGTCATCAAAATTGTTACACTGCTGGGATATTTAAAAACAAGTTAATTGTTTGAAACTTCGCCTTCTCACCAAAGAGAAACCTCCAATACACCAAATATCAGTGTGACAGGTCAGGTGTCATAAGGGGTCACCAGCCCATACAGTCAATGTGAGGAAGTGCAACAGTATGCATATCAATTGATATCCCATCTGCAGGCTCAACAATAAAAGTAAACTTCCACAATAAAGGAATTGAGAAGTATCATTATAAACTTATCAAGTGTTTCTTGCTTTGTACAATTTTTTTTGGCTGTGGTAACTATTTTGCACCTGAGCCACAGTCTCTCGACATAGATCCAACATGTATTTCACATTTAACATTGGTGTAGAGTATAAATTAATCCAAAAAAAATGGGATTCCAAATTTTAAGTATGTTGCCCTGCCAATAACAAGATGCAATCTCAAATTGGTTCTTAAGGTTAAAGTGCAGCTGCAACCTCTTAGCACAAAAATATACCAGAACTTGTAACCTTCATTACTTATTTTCCTATTAAATAAGTAAATGTAAGCAGTTTACAATGGAGTCAAAAAGAGGTCCCTGTAGCAAACATATTGTCAATTATTTAGAGCCATTGAAAGCCAAAGCAGCAGTGGTAGACATGCTGTATTTGTTATGATAGCAGTTATACTACATTCTACCATTGTCAATATAACTATATAAGGAAAATAGGCTATCAGGTTTTCCCTCTTGGTAAATGACTACCAGATCCAAAAAATACAATTACATTCAGGGAGTCATAAGTAGCTGTTGCTCATGAGTCACAGGGAATCAATTTACTGACCACTCTTCCTCAGCAACTACACATTTCTATTTGATAAACTCACATCAACCTCAATTACTCATCAACTTTTGCAAACGTAGTGTCACAGTAACATGCAGAATAATGACTGTTGACAATTGCTCAATGTTAGGAGTAAATTAGCTCACCTCAGTTTACAATATATAGTTTATACCCTTCAATGCAGAAGAAAAATAAAGTCAACGGTGTAATCTTGGGACATAGATTAGAAGGGTGACAATTCAAACTACTTTGCTGGCTGTAAAGTCCTTTAGGACACCCTGAGATTGAGAAAGGCGTTATAAAAATATAAGTTTTTGTTTTAAAAACCACAAGTGTTTTATGATCACGTTCCATAAACTCATCTGAACCAGATATCACTTAGCAACCACCCTCTACTGTACTCTCATTTTAACTCACAGGAGAAAGCAGTTTAGTGTACTATCACTTAAGTAAACTCTATTGAGAATCAAATCTTGCTTTTATTTCAATGTAATTCCGGATTCTCTGCCTATTTAAAGTACACCATTTCATACAAAGGCCACCCAGCAATTCATTTCAGCAGACAGGCCTCAATATAAAATGCAGGACCATAATTATAGCATCATTACCAGAGAGAAATTCGGGTTGCAGAGTGACCAGGTGTACAAGGTTACACAAGAATAGGTTGTTAGAAAACAGGGCCCTCTTGGGGTGCAGAGAAGGTGTCCCTACCCCTGAATCAAGACACCTGGCTTCAAGTCACAACTGCTCCAAATGTGTGTAATAACATCTTTGATGGTTGGTTAGGAAAAAAGGTTGAATAGAAAACAGAGTTCTTGCAGTGATAGTGGGAACTGCCGATGCTGGAGAATCTGAGATAACAAGGTGTAGAGCTGGATGAACACAGCAGGCCAAGCAACATCAGAGGAGCAGGAAAGCTGACGTTTTGGGTCTAGACCATTCTTCAGAAATGGGAATGGGGATGGGGATTCTGAAATAAATAGGGAGAGAGGGGGAGGCGGATGGAGGGTGGATAAAGGAGCAGCTAGGTGGAGAGGAGACAGACAGGTCAAAGAATCAGGGATGGAGCCAGCAATGGTGAGTGTAGTTCGGGAGTTAGGAAGGGGATAGGACAGTACAAGGAGGATGGACAGGTTAAGGAGGCGGGATGAGGCTGGTAGGTAGGAGATGGGGATGGGGCTCGAGGTGGGAGGAGTGGATCGGTGGGAGGAAGGACAGGCTAGGGAGGCGGGGATGAGCTGGGCTGGTTTTGGGATGCGGTCAGGGGAGGGGAGATTTTGAAGCTTGTGAACTCCACATTGATACCATTGGGCTGCAGGGTTCCCAAGCGAAATATGAGGTGCTGTTCCTGCAACCTTCGGGTGGCATCGTTGTGGCACTGCACAAGGCCCAGGATGGACATGTTGTCCAAGGAGTGGGAGGGGGAGTTGAAATGGTTCGCAACTGGGAGGTGCAGTCGTTTGTCGCAAACCGAGCGTAGGTCTTCCACAAGGCGGTCCCCAAACTAACTGGAGCAGAATCTACGGGTGTCGAGTGAGTGGTTGACCTGGGGTCCTGAACCAGAATTCTGAGGAATGGTCATCGGACCCGAAACGTTAACACTGATTTTTTCTTCACAGATACTGCCAGACCTGCTGAGCTTTTCCAGCAACTTCTGTTTTTGAGATACCTGAACTGGTTGGTTAGGAAATCTCTTCTGATCTATGTGGATCGGTGACATAAAATGCATAGAGATACAATCACTGCACTACAAGGCACCAGTTTTATCCACACCACAACAGTATTTTTAAAAATTGAAAGTTGAAAATCATTTTACATCAGGGTTAAAGATATTTACAGTTTGGAATAAAACATATTCTGTAACAATGGAGAATAAAGCAACCATTAGCACCTTCAAGTGTATTAAATTTAGGTATACAAACTGGTCACATTAAAATGACACTATCATTACATCCTTGAAATATACAGTTAAATGTCTTCCAAAAAAATGGACCTTTTCAACACTAGTTTATGCCTCCATTTTATTTAACTTAACACATATTCCCTCACAATAATGAACTCCTAGCTATAATTCATTGAATCATAGAATCCCTAGTGTGGAAACAGGCCCTTTGGCCCAACAAGTCCACACCAACCCTCAGAACATCCCACACAGACTCACCCCTCTCTGTTCCAAATCATCTTAACACACACTTTCCCCTACGTTAGCATGTTCTCATTGTAGATTTGTACTTTATTTTGCATGTACATTAGGCAATAAATTTCAACAGAGTCATTGTGCATTTTCCTTCTCTATTCTCGGTCCCTGTTCAGTGAACATGCTTTCCCCTATGAAGAACTTGTCCCGCATTTGACATGGCTCAGGAACTCAATTATCACGTGCATGCTCAATCTCAGTGCATGACCTTGACCCTGTACCACTACTTCCTTTCATCACTTCTTATTACAAAACTATTTCCCTCCCTTGCGTTATTGATAGATTTCTTCTATGCATTATTCACTGCAAAAGTTATAAATCCACTCCTTATAAATATACTTACAACTGTATCACACCAAACATGGGTGGAACCTATCTAATCACTGCATCCACGTCTCTTCCTCTATACCCAACTTCATGTTTCCTGCTGACATACCCGCATGCTCTTCTTCACCAATACAGTAGACATTTCACACGTGGTCCCACATAAACTGTAGTATAGGAATTGCTCGTTACCCTTCTACCATGCTAATGGGTACATGATACAACAACATGAAGTTATTGAGTAATCCTTGCAATTAATCTGTACCAACAGGACTCCGGCACGAAATGAGAAAATCTTAAGGGTAGAGAGCTTTGAAAAGCATAGATCCAAAGTCACCAATTCCTGCCAAACACACACTACATTCGCCGCGAAGCTTTCTGCCCCGATCCAGTCTGAGATTTCTCCCACTTCTAGTTCCTTCCTGACTTCTTTGCCATCCGTCTCTCAACCAGCCACAGAAATTAAATATTAGCTAATCCACATCCTCTTCCCTTTCCATAGCCAAGCCGCAGCTGGTGATCACTCACTCCCCTGGTAACACGGATCGCGATCCGGAGATACACTGCAGTGAGCTGTGATCAAAATTAACTCCTCTCGACCTGTTGTGCAGGAGAGCTACCTTCCCTCCGTCTGACTTCCCAGGCCTCTTGTGTTCCCTCGGACGCGCTACCCGCAGCCTCCCATAGCCGGGGCCCAGGCCCCCAAGACAACCACTCACTCGATACCCGCGGATTCTGCTCCTCAAGCAGCCGCCACCCTCCAATCTCCGGAAACCGATAACACGGGCCTGGTTCTCCGGACTGACCGGCACCCCACGCCAAGAGCTAAAGGCTCCGGACAGGCCGAAGAAAGTCTCAGGACAAACGGCGGCCTTTCCTTCAGGCCTAAACACCACCACACGCACAGCCCAACGATACTCACAGTAATCAGGCCAGTCATTGAAAACTGCTGAGCACCGTGCGGTTTTGAACAGCGATTCGCACAGCAGCCACCTCACACACACTCTCTCACCGCTCAGGAAGACTGGCGGCTACCAGCGGCTGCCGAGTCCTCCCGAACCGCTCCCGAGTCCCCCGGAACAGCTACGAGTACCTCCGAACCGGCGCCGAACTCTTCCCGAGACATCCCGAACAACCCGAACTGCTCCCGAGTCCCGCACGAACAACCCGAACCGCTCCCGAGTCTTCCCGAACGCCCCAAACCGCACCCGAGTCCCCAAAAGAACAACCCGAACTGCTACCGAGTCTTCCCGAACGCCCCAAACCGCACCCGAGCCCCCACGAACAACCCGAACCTGCCCCCGAACGACTCGTGTCTTCCCGAACGCACTCGGAAGCAGTCGGCATGATGCTCGTGGTTGCCTGTCAAACTAGGCGCATGTCAACTCGATTAAGGTGGGGAACGCGCTTCAGTATTTGGTTGAAAGGATTCCAGTTTAATTGTTGACTTCCCTCAAACTTATCTCAGGGTCGTCTGTCAGCAAGGACTGTGGCAGTGGTGGGTATGGTAGTTAGAGCTGCCTTTGTCTACACCAGCGTGTCAGGTATTCCGAGTCATGGCCGCCCTTGCAAATGGCGTCGATACATTCCCGCCTAAACGCATGTTTTCCTGCTTAGAGCCGCAGTTGAGAGCTGGAGGCCTAAAATGGGAATCAATCACTGCAAAGACTGCTACTTGTGTGAGGCCCTCGCTGTCGCTCACAACACCTTCGAGAGGGCATTAAAAGGAACATCAACTGGAATAGCGCTGGGGATCAGGGCCTCCAGTCATATGGATGGGTTTGAGAAGCTCTGGTTTGTTCACCTTAAGAGTAGAGCAGAGAAGGTTAGCGGACCCCTTAAAGATCAAAGAGATCGTCTTTGTATTAAGCCTCAGGAGATGGGAGGTGAATATTTTGCATCAGTTTTAACTGTGGAGAAAGAAATGGAGGCTAAAGAACTCGGGGGCAATAAATATTGATATTTTGAACCCAGTTCACATTACAGAAGAGGAAATGTTGGCGGCCTTAGAAAATATAAAGGTGTAAAAATCTCCAAGACATTGCGGGAAGTTAGGGAGGAAATTGCAGTGCCCCTTGCAGAAATATTTGTATCATGTATAACAATGGGTGAGGTGCCAGATGACCAAAGAGTGGCTAATGTCGTGCCCTTGTTTGAGAAGGGATGTGAGGCGAAGCCTGGGAACTACCTGTAAGGCTGACTTTAGTGGTGGGTAAGTTGTTGGAAGAGATTCTGAAAGGTAGGATTTATATACATTTGAAGAGGGAGTGAATGATTAGTGATAGTCAGCATGGTTTTTTTGTGAGGGAAATAATGTGTCTCAAACTTGATTGAGTTTTTTGAGGAAGGAACCAGGAAGATTGAGTGCAAAGTAGTAGTCATTGTTTACTTGCCTTTGACAAGGTTCTGTGTGGTAGGCTGATTAGTAAAGTTAGATCACATGGGATTCAGGGTGAGCTGCCAATTGGATACAAAATTGGATTAATGGCAGGCGACAGAGTGTGATGGTGGAGGGTTGTTTTCTGGACGGGAGACTTGTGACCAGTTGTTGTTCCTCAGGGATTGGTGCTGGGTCCACTTATGTTGTTTTATATAAATTATTTAGATGAAAAAATAGAAGGCATGATTAACAAGTTTGTGGATGACACCAAAATTGGACATTGAAGAAGGTTATCTGAGATTATGAAGAAATCTTGATCAGTTAGGTCAATGGGCTGAAGAGTTGCAGATGGAGTTTAATTTAGATAAATGTGAGGTATTGCAGTTTGGTAAACCAAACAAGGGCAGGAGTTATACAGTTAAAAGTAGGGCCTTGGGCAGTGTTGTAGAGACCTAGGGGTTCACAAATAATTCTTTGAGCTTTATATCACACATAGAAAGGGTGGTTAAGAATGTGTCTAGCATGCATGCTTTCATTGCTCAGACCTTTGAGTAGAAGAGTTGGGATATTATGTTGAGGTTGTACAAGATGTTGCTGAGACCTCTTCTGGAGTACTGATATAGTTTTGGTTGCCCTATTATAGGAAGGATATTATTAAGCTGGGGAGGGTTCAGAAGAGATTTACCAGGATGTTGCTGGGAATGGAAGGTTTGAGTTATAAGGAGATGCTGGATAGGCTAGGATGTAGGAAGTTGAGGGGTGACCTTATGGAGGTTTATAAAATCATGATGGGCATAGACAAGGTGAATGGCAGGTGTCTTTTCCCTAGGTGGAGTATTTCAAGACTAAAGGGCATATTTTTAAGATGAAAGGAGAAAGATTTCAAAAAGACATGAGGGGCAATTTTTTTTAACTCAGTGGTTTGTGCATGGAATGAACTTCCAGAGGAAGTCATGGATGGGGTTAAAGTTACAACTTTCTAAAGATATTTACATAAGTAAATGGATAAGAAATGTTGAGAGGGATATGGGCCAAGTGCAAGCAGGTGGGACTGGTTTAGTTTGGGATGATGGTTGGCATGGACTGGTTGGACCGAAGGGTCTGTTTTGTTTTTGCTGTGTGTCTATGACTCTATCATCAATGATTCTGCTAGAGTAAATAGAGACTGTTTCCACAGGCAGAAATGTTGGTGACCCTTCAAATATCACCTCACTTCTGCTCTGAGTTTATTACTAATGTCTTGTGTGAAGAATATTAAGGCATTTTTCTACACTGAATATTCTATGTAATTTCTTGTTATTTCTTATCATTTGCTGCCATCGTTACACTGCTCCTACCATTTGAATGTCATTTATCCACTTTGGAGATAGGAAGTTTAAAAATTAATACAAATTCAGTTGTAAAATTGTCCTGTGTCAGCCAGTTAAATAAATCTCAAGTCACTTAGCCATTAAGCTGAAGCAAAATTATGATAATCCATCTGGAACAAATGGAAATCAATGAACCTGGAAGGAAAAAGTTTTAAAACCCTTGTAATGGAAACATCAAAGTAATCTTTCTGACCAGGACTATGTAATCTGACAGATGTAACCAATAAACCCAGAGCAAAAGAGCGGAGGTATTTGAAAGGATGAGTAAATGATTGGTGAAAGGTGGATTTTAAAGAGGTCCTAAAAGGTAGGGAGGACAGGAAGTGATCCAAGAGGAAATTCCTATTGTGGTGAATTTCATGAAACGCAACACCAAAGGTACAGTGAAGAGAGGGTGTACTAGAGATCAATTTCAGAGTTTAAGGTTGCATTGTAGGTTTAGTTTTCAGAAGGCACTTGATAAGGTACCACATGCAAAGGCTACTTAATGAGGTAGGATAGTGTTGGAGATAGAATATTAGCTTGGACAGATAACTGTTTAGCTAATAGAAGGCAGATAGTCAGGATAAAGGGGCTCATGTGCAGGATGGTGTGCCACAGGGATCAATGCTGGGCCATAATT